TTGCACCCGGCCCTGCCTTTTTTCTCAGAAAGCAAACATGAGCCATGCGGAGAAGGTCAGATTCACTGGGGTCACCAGCCAGCAGCCTGGACTCTCCATACATGGTGCAAAAGGCTGCTGAGCTGCCTCATACCCTGGCTGCATGGCACCGAGCATTCAGCAGCCACCCCACAGAATAGGATGCTGCAGCACTTGACCTGCTAGTGGGGACCCAAAAATGGGGGGGGGGTGTCACCTTTAAAATGAGCCGGCGCTCTGATCTTCAGCCCCGCGGGGTCATTTGGCTCTGTGCCACACAATGGAGATTTTAGGTCTGCAGGGGAAAGGATCCAAGATCCCTCTGGCCAGCTGCATTTCTGAAAGGGCTTCAGCGTCATTCCAGAGAGGTGTGCGTGACTCCAGCCCTGGAACAGCGCATTGCACAACCGCTCGAAAGCCTGCCTTAGCTCCCAAAGCCTGGGGTCTATTCCTGCCTCTGCTGCTGCATTGCTGAGAGATCTGGAACCAGTCGCAGAGCTGGAGAGGAGTGGGGCTGGACCTCAGAGGTCACATCTAGTCCATCCCGCTGCCTGAGGTCAGATCATCGCCATCCAAACCACCCTGCACAAATCTATTAGCTAACCTCTTAGGAAAACTACCGTTGACTCTGATGCAACACAAGACATCACACCCTAGCCTGTCACTGGCGGGGCCAACCCTAGGGCAAATCACCCCCCTAACACTCTGCGAGGCCCGTGGGACCCCCGCAAAGGCAGGGCATATGTTGGGGTCTCCCCTGTGCATGGGAGGGAGGTCTCCACACTTCTTCTGCGGCACGGGGCAGAAGCGCCAGCACCCGGCGGGCACCGCAGGAGGGGCCGTGGCCGCTCTGCCCGGCTCTGCAGGGCCCCCCAAAGCACAGGGCCTGGGGCGGTCACCCCAGGTCACCGTACCCTAGCCACAGGTGAAGCAGGGCAACCACACCAGCCAACATCCCGCTTCTATAACAGGTTGTGCTGAGCGGAGTTTTTTCCACGCGTGTGCAAACGGAGCACAGGGGGGTAAGAGGGGATTTCAGCCCAGCACCGTGCACTTCGACTGCAGCTCGCCTCCACGCGTGTGCAAACGGAGCACAGGGGAGTAAGAGGGGATTTCCGCCCAGCACCGTGCACTTCGACTGCAGCTCGCTACAAAAACCCACTCCCAGGGCACGGCCAATGAAGCCAACCC